TTGGATCTCAAGTTCACGTACTCCTATCGCGTAAGACGCGTTTGGATCTCAAGTTCACATACTCCTCTCGCGTAAGACGCGTTTGGATCTCAAGTTCACATACTCCTCTCGCATACGACGCGTTTGGATCTCAAGTTCACATACTCCTCTCGCGTAAGACGCGTTTGGATCTCAAGATCACATACTCCTCTCGCATAAGACGCGTTTGGATCTCAAGATCACATACTCCTCTCGCGTAAGACGTGTTTGGATCTCAAGTTCACTTTCCTCCTCTCGCGGACTAAGCGTTTGGATCTCACATTCACTACATCCAACATTTATGCTTTCATTCAATGTCACATCATTGTCTTGATTGCATTTCATTGCATGATCATAAGTTATGTTTTGCATTTCATTGCATGATCATAAGTTATGTTTTACATATCATTCTGCATCTTGCCCCTGAACTATGCAAGTTTGATTCCTTGCAAACAGGATACGTAGGCAACCTTCTGGTTCAACCACTTGCATTTGCACATTTGTTTGTTTGCCCAAGTCTTACGGTCTTGTCAAAAGGGTCGTCTTCGGGCTTTGACATTCACTCACGTCATGAAATGACTTTGAGCTCTGTCAAAGAGGGGCAACTGCAGACACCCCAATTTTGACCGGCCCTAAGACTTGGGCACTTTCTTTTAATTACCCGATGATGACAATTAGAATGTGTTGCTCACAGAATCCTCAGTAAGAGAGATGGAATTTGAACTTTAATCCCAACTTTCACCATTATGGCCCAATTGTTTTAAACTACTAAATATTTTATTAGTTTAGTATTTTGTAATTTTGCATAATTTTATGTGTTTGTTCATATTTTTGGTGTTTTTATATAAATTGGTATAAATTATATATTTTATATGTATAAAATAAAATAATAAAAAAAGTTATATTATTATATTATATGATTAGTATGTTATGTATAGTTATAGTATTATATTATATGCTTAGTATTTTATAAATAGTTATATTATTATATTATATATTTAGTATTTTGTTTCTTCTAATTAATCCATTCTGTTGTTTATTTGATTAATCTAGTTTTTAGTTCATCTTAATCACCCACAAGATCGGTTTGTGTTTATCCACCTGGTTTAAGTCACCCACTTTCGTTCCCTGTCCAGAGTAAGTCCTTAGGATTAGGCAGTGTCGGACATAGGGTTATATTATCTATTTGTTGCCTATATAAAGCAACCAAATGGTGAGATTTTGAGGGGGAGGGGGAGGCCCAGCAAAGAAAAAAGAGAGAGGCTAATCAGAGGGAGGGAAAAATGAAGTGATGCGAGAGAATTTGAGAGAAAAATAATCAGAAAGAAAGAAAATTAGTTTTTTTTTTTTGAGAGAGAGGGAAAATAAAATATTTTCTTTGATATTTTTATTTCCATTTCATCAATATACCATTCAAAAACCAACCACTAAAGCTTTAATTCCAAATTTTGGATTGAGAATTGAGAACATATTCCACAGACTTGAGAGTAATCAAAAGAAAGTTTGTGACTCAGAAAATTCATCATTTCCCCAAAAGGTGAGTTTTCGCAAATTTTCATTTAATTTAAAAATGTGATATAATTTGTTTAAATATTTCATTTACTTCTTTTCATATCTGTTTTTTTATTGCTTTAATGGGAAGGCTGCACCACCCACATCTCTGCTGTAATTTAAATATTGTACATAAACTGTTGTAATTTATTACTTTAAATAATTGATCCCATTGGATGAATAGTACCTCCGGCGGTGAATAGTAACCCCGAAAATGAATAGTACCTCCGGTGGTGAATAGTAAAAGTGGTAGGTTTCTCTCAAATTCTTTTGGGGCTATTTTTCAACATCTAAACTATGTGATTTGAAGTTGTAAAAGTGGAAGGGTTAGCCATCCTTCCTTCTTATAGCGATCCCGGGTTTACCCTTGTTGTACAGTGATCCGGACATGTGTCCGTGGATGTTGGTAGTTGGTTATTATCGTGTTTACATTCCTTTTCTTCGTATTTGAGTTATAGGATGTGTTGGGCGGATTTGTTTCAGGTTGGTTGAGTTTAGAAACCAAAACTAGTTGCCCAGATTTTTGGCCTGTCCGCTCGAGCGGAGGTGTTCGCGCTCGAGCGGGGAATACACCCATCCAGTATTTGTTGTGCAGTGTTGTACGCTCGAGCGTAGGGTTGGGAGCTCGAGCGGAGGCTCCAGAAAGTCGAATACAACTGATTCGAACTACTTAAACCACAAGGCAAATGTGACAGCCGAACAGCTACCTCTTCGTCATCTTCACTCGCAAACCACAGAACCAGACTAGAACACCAACAACGAAACCCTAACACCACCAATCCTCGGAACGAGTATGCAAAACATAAACGTATCACTTGGAATTGGATTGATGAAGAAAAACGTGAAATGGAAACTGCCAAACTGAATCAGCGAGGAAACAGCCACGTAAACAGCCACGTAATACGTAAATAGGTATAACACTGTACACATATATCTATATATATGGGGGCAAAATAGTCCAGGAAAATATGTTAAATTAGAAAAATGGACCTTATGGAATAAGAAGAAAAGTTTATGGGACTAATCAGGTTATCATATTCTTTTGTGGACCTAATGGGTTATAACAACTCTAGAATGGATTTATCAATAAAAATTCCTAAAAAATATAATCATTCTACACGTTTGATATAATTATAATAACTTATTTTTAGTAGGATTAAAGAGATTGAAATTAATGCATATGCGTGGCAGATATTGAAATACACAAAATATATATATATTAGTTGAAAATAGGTAAAAATGTTATTTTTCTATCCATACAATCAACAAATTATTGATGAAAAATAACTTTATTATTATGTGAATTAAAACTTGAAGAGAACTAGACTAGTGTAATTATATTAAAAATATGGTAACTGCAATTTTTTTTAATTTTTTTTTTTAAATTTTAGAAGAGGTGGATATAATTTACCCAAATAAAAATTAAAAAGTATAAAAAAAAAAATTGAGCAAAAGGAAACAGTGGTGCCAAGAAAAAAGAGAAGCAACACAGGGGGAATTGGTGTGGCTGCTGTGCGGGGGTGCACAGCAGCCACTGCTGTGCAGCCATTTGGGCTCTTTTCGGGGTCCATTTTGATAATCCGAACCATTCACATTTTAAAATACATCAAGTAGAACATACCTGTAAAAAATCAAGTTAATCGGATATCGTTTACCCATTCATCCACTCACATTTGTGTCTACAAAAATAAATAACAATTGTAATTTAAAGTATTAAAATAATAAATAGCAATTGTAATTTAAAGTATTAAAATGAATACAAATGTGAGTGGATGAATGGGTAAACGATATCCGATTAACTTGATTTTTTATAGGTATGTTCTACTTGATGCATTCTAAAATGTGAACGGTTCGAATTATCAAAATAGGCCCCGAAAAGGACCCAAATAACTGCACAGCAGTAGATGCTGTGCACCCCGCACAGCAGCCACCCCAATTCCAACATAGGGAGCCTGAAATTTAAATCTTTACTTATTATTATCCAGACACGGAGCATCTCCATTGGATAATAAACTTCCTCTCTTTTTTCCCTGCTCCATTGGAAGTTTGGAACAGTTTGTGGATAACGAGGTTGTGTTTAATAAAATTGAAAATTAAATATTAAATTTTTTAAATTAAAAATTTATTTGATAAAAATTTAAGCGTTGAATTAAAATAAATTATTTTGTATGTATAAATATTAAATTTGAAAGTTTTTATTTTTAAATTTTATATTGTGATAGTGAGTTGGTGGTGGTGGAGATAGAGGGTGGTTGTGGTGATGATGGACGGATAATGTAGTGAAGATAAAAAGCGGTAGCAGCAGTGGTGTAATGATAGTGGTTATTGTGGTGGTGAAGTGATAGTTGTAGTTATGACAACAATAATGGTGGTCAATAATAGTTATGACAACGGTAAAAATCGCAATGGTAATGATAATGGTAACGGTAATTGTGGTAGTAAAATGATGGTAGTACTATAGTAATTGTGATAATGGTGCTGATGGTGGTAGTTGTGGAATGGTGACAGTGGTGGTGATAGTAGTGATTGTGAGCTTAGAATAGTAAATGTTGAGCTTATATATAAGTATTTAGTCAGAATTAATTAAATTTTCTAACACTTATTTTTTAAAAATTTTTAACATACATTTTAAGAGCCACTTAAATTTTTTAAATGATATCATTTGTGATAATGAAACTAATTTAATTAATTTTTTTTTCAATTTTAAAGGCTAAATATTAAAAGCCACCTACGTTTACATAATCAAATGTCAAAAAGTGTGTTAACTGTGAGGAGTCAACTGGCAAGGAGAGGAAAAGGGGAGGGAGCTTGATGCAAAAGAGATAAGATTGTAGTAGTAGTGAGGTAGGACTCATAAATTTATGGCGGGAATTACTTAACAGGGTAATAGGGAAAAAAAATTATATAAAAAAAAATAAAAATTACCCAAATATGAAATGGTGTAAGTGAGACTTGCACTCTCACAACTTTTCATTTACGCCCCATCACAAAATCACTTATATTTTTCATGTGTTTGTAATTCTTTTTTCTCCACTTCACTATTAAACAATTCCTCACACTACAGGAATTTTGAGTTTTAACGGCGTTTTAAAAACGCCGGTAAAATCCTGAAAAACGCCATAAAAGAGTACAGCAACGTTCAATATTTTCGTCGCTGATACGGCCGTTGCAATAGCTTTACAACGTTTGGAAAACGTCGCTAAAAAATTAGGCGGCATTTTTTAAAACGCCACAAAAACTTTGACAGCCGCTTACAATTCCGTCACAAATAACGTTTGACATCATGATGACGTCATTTAGTGGCGTTTTTTTAAAAAACGCCACCTTCTACCTTTTATTTTTTTATTTTTTTTTGGGGTGGGTGTGTGGGACTGATTCTGCATAACACACCACAGGGTCAAACAATTTAACAAAGAACGCAACTTGAAATATAGCACGACACAAGATCACAATTTTTACATATTCAATATATTGTAATCAAACACATCCATAAAAACATTATACGGAAATGGGGAAATAGTGCATAAAAATTATCTCAATCATTCGTACAAAAAATACCATCAAAGTACATCTTTATAAAACCATCATCCAACTCATCCATCCAAGCACCAATAATTTGGTTCCATCTTGCCAATGACATGATCATGAGTACCCAACTTTGACAAAACAGTGGCACTGAAAAAACACAACAATTCAAAACAAATAAGGAAAACCAAAACCCCTCATTTGGTCCATTCCATAAAAATCCATGTACAAAAAAGCAATTACCAGAATGCTACAACACAGCAAAAGAATTTTTAATTTCAAAATTTTATCAGCATCTTCATAAACAATTTTTAATTCTAGATGTAACAGTTCATCCAAAGCAATATATAGGCAAACCAAACGAATAAATTCCAATAAGGAAACAAATATAAACTAAAAATAAAATCCTAAACAAATTCGACTTCATTAATAAATTAAAATTCACAAATAAACTAAAATTCTAATCTTCCATTTTTTTCAACGAACTCCTTTTTGTTCTCCATCAGTAGTGAACCATCAGTATAGCTTAGTAATATTGACAACCATGCTAAGGAAACACATGATGCTGAATGAGACATTCATGGAAGCATAAAAAGCATACCTCCGACCTTTTCCATTGCATTAGTTGATTCCTAAGATTAAGACCCCTCAAACTCTTTGAAATTATAGAAAGGAAACATACAAATAACTGGAGTTGAATAACTAACAGACCTTGATCTTTATATTTTTCATATAAAATGTTCAATTCTTTGTAGTTTGATTGTTGTTTAGCCACTGCAAAAGGGAGCCAAAAAAAGTCAAAAAAGTTTATGTTAGTTTGAATTGAACAACTTGAATATGATTAAAAGAACTTTGTAGTCTATATTATCTTTGTAAACTCAAACAAACAATAAACAAGAAGTCATATACCAAGCAACAAAGTAGGTTTCAAGAAAGAAGTAGCATTATGAATAAATCCAAAGAGCTCTGAATATTCCTAGGGAAATAAAAGAAGAAGAATATGGCCCAAAGATCAATAAAGTAATTAACAGCAAGGACAAAAACAAAAACAAAAAAAAAAAAGAATTTTTTACGTATGAACGATTATCAAAAGAAAAGAGAGAATAAGAAAAAGAAGAAGAAGAAGAAGAAGA